AATCAACCTCAACATGTCTTGTACGAGCATGGAACACAGGATTCACAGCAAGGAAAACTGCACTACTGTTGTCACACTAAATAGAGGGAGAGCGATTTAAAGAAACGCCTAACTCGGACAACAGATGACACACCCAATGCAGTTCAACACAGACATTAGCAACCGCACGAAACTCAGCCTCAGTAGACGAGCGAGCCACAGTGGGCTGCTTCCTAGATGCCCAGGCAATGAGATTAGGTCCCAAATAAATGAGAAAACCAGTAGTAGAACGACGATCATCCGGACAACCAGCCCAGTCAGCATCACTAAACGCAGTAAGAGTACCCAAATCTGTAGGATGCAGAACTAAACAGAAATCAATGGTACCACGAAGATAGCGAAGAACCCGTTTGAGAGCCTGAAAATGAGAAGTGCGAGGCTGATGCATAAACTGACAAAGCTTATTAACCGCAAAGGAGATATCTGGACGAGTGAGAGTGGTATACTGCAGACTGCCACACAACCGACGATAAGTAGTCGCATCATCAGGAGACAACAGAGTACCATCCAAACGGGATAACACAACATTAGCCTGCAAAGGAGTGGAAACAGGTTTGCAAGTATGCATATTTGCAAGTCGTAGCAAATCAGTGACATACTTGCGCGAGAGAGAAGCAAACCTTTGGAAGTACGACGAACCTCAACCCCAAGAAAGTAACTCAATGGACCTAAATCCCAAGAGAAAACTCCTTAGCAAGACAAGAGATAAAATGCTGAACCAAACCGAAGTGCTGCTGTAAGAATAATGTCATCCACATAGACCAGTAAAAAACACAACTGCGACCCACGGCGATAGACAAAAAGAGACGAATCACAACGAGACTCCACAAAACCCAAGGTAAGTAGAAATGCTGCCAGCCGAGAATACCAGGCCCGAGGAGCTTGCTTAAGACCATACAAGGACTTATGCAGTTTACACACATAATGAGGGCGCACCGGATCAACAAACCCCGTGGCTGAACCATATACACGGTCTCACCGAGAACACCATTAAGAAAGGCATTACGACATCAAGGCGAGAAATCGACCATCCACGTGCCGGGGCAACGGTCAAAACGGAACGAATGGTGACCGGCTTAACAAGCTGGACTAAAAGTGTCGGTGTAATCAACCCCAAAAGGCGAGTAAAACCTCGAGCCACCAACCGAGCCTTATACCGCTCAATGGAGCCATCAGCATGAGTTTTAATCTTATAGAGCCATCGATTACCGACAACATTGCCGGAGGAAGGAGGGGGAACTAAAGTCCATGTGTTATTTTTGAGGAGGGCGGAAATTTCATCCTTCATGGCATTCTGCCACTGAGGAAGAGATTTGGCTTGGGTGAAGGATGTAGGAGCAGTGGACAAGGCTGGGGAAACAGAGGTAAGATGAGCCGAGGGATCAAAAATTTTCTTGGGCTTGGGTTGTGGACGAAGTGTCATTGAGTGCTGACGGGAAGAAGGAGGAGGAGGTGGCGGCGGAGGACTGCAGTCAGATGATGAAGGGCTGGATGCAGGAGATCTAGCTAAAGGTGATGAGTCGGGAGGGATAGGAGGAGACGAAAGAACTGGTGTACTAGAAGGAGACGAAGAAGACGCAGAAGACGACGCAAGTATACCAGGAGAACTGGTTACACGCAACCAAGGGGTAGCAGAAGACTCCAGCAGTGAGGAAGGAGAACTAGAAAGAGGAAGTTTAAAGGGAAAGAGTTTCTCATCAAACTCAACGTGACGAGCAACATAAAGACGGTTATTCACCACATCAAAACAGCGATAACCAAGATGAGATGGAGAATACCCAAGAAAGACACACTGAGTAGAACGAAAGGAGAATTTATGTTTATTATAAGGGCGAAGAAGAGGATAGACAGCGCAACCAAAGACACGAAGAAAGGTATAATCAGGTGGCTGGTGATATAGTGTAGTGAAGGGGAGGTGACCTTGAAGAGGTTTACTAGGGTGGCGATTAATCAAAAACACAGCAGTTTCAAAAGCAAACTCCCAAAACCGAAAAGGTGTCTTGGAATGGCCAAGGAGAGCAAGTCCAATGTCGACAATGTGACGAATTTTGCGTTCAGCGGTGCCATTCGCTCATGAGTGTGTGGGCACGCTAAACGATGAACAATACCAACATCCTTAAAGAAAGAATTGAGAGAACGAAATTCACCACCCCAATCGGAGTTAACACTTTTAATGGTAGTGCCAAATTGGTTTTCTACGAGAGCTTTGAATTGCTTGAAAACATGGACAACATCACTTTTATACTTAATTGGATAAATCCATGTGAATAAAGAGAAGTCATCAATAAAAAGCACAAAGTAGCGATAACCATTGAATGACAAAATAGGAGCAGGACCCCAAACATCAGTGTGAATTAAATCAAGAGGTTTAGAGCTACGATGAAATGTAGAAGGTAAACTGACCCTATGTAACTTCCCTAAACAACACGCCTCACATTTATCAGTGGACGTGGACACAGAGGAGTAAGGAAGTTGAAATTGCCTAACCAAAGTACGAAGAGTGACATTATTAGGGTGCCCTAAACGGGCATGCCACTGACCTAAAGAGACAAGATAAGCTGCTGGAGACAAGGAACCACGAGCAGGAAGATCTAAGCGATAGAGACCCTTATCAGCCCGACCGTGGAGGAGGAGTTCCTTGGTTGAAAGATCCTTAACACAACAAGAGTCAGAATAAAATTCAAAGAAACAGTGATTATCACGGGTAAACTTTTGAACAGATAACAGAGGTTTAGTAAGAGAAGGAGCATGCAAGACACGATTTAAATAAAGAGGACGAAAACGATGGCAAAACAGTTGACCAACATGCTGAATAGGTAAAGCATCTCCATTACCAACTAAAATATGGTCCGTACAGTATAATCATTGGAGATACGAGAGAGGACAAATCGGCGTGACATGATCGGTAGCACCGGTGTCGGATGCCGTGGAGTGACGAAGGTGCATCTGCGCCATATGAGCTTGAGAAGACATAGTCGCCTCCGGGTAAGACGGAAGAGGCAACAAACCAGTGAAGGCGGTGCGGGGAACTGCTGGGCATAAGCGGCCGACCGAGCGGCGGGGGGTCGAGGAACAAAGTTAGTATCAAAACGGCGTCGACAAGTGGCGGCCGTGTGATTCAAGATGCCGCAAAGCGACACGTCTCACCCGGAGCGGGAGGGTGTAACCACGCCGACCACCACCACGACCGAAACCTGATTGCGCCGGCCGCCGCGTTGCGGCGGCCGGCACGAGAGGATTGAGGCGGCGTAGGAGAGGGGGCGACCGCACAAGCATGGTCGTGGTGAAGGACCGGCTATTGAGCGTGAAGAAGCACCTCATATGAAACTAACTGTCCAAGGAGATCTTGATAGGAGGGGTTCGGATCGCTGTTGCGAGCTCCGATGATGCCATTGAATTCGGCACCAAGCTTGCGGAAGATTATGGCATTAAACTCCGCAGAGATATGCGATGGCCGGCAAGCTGCAGTGTATCGCGATGCCCTTCGCTTTGGAGAGAGAGCCGTGACCGACAAGTCACCTTTTGCAAGTTGTGGAGCTCCATAACAAGCTGGGTCTGTTGAGCATAAGAAAGAGTGCCGAAACCCTGCTGAAGAGCTGTCCATGCAGCCTCCGATGTTGTGCAGCCCTGGAGAACGGGAAAAATCTCTTCAGCAACGGAAGAAAGAATCCAAGAGAGGACCAACTGATCCTTTTGCTGCCAGATATCAAACTCAGGATTGAGTTGGGGCACGGCACCACTAACGGAAGGAAGAAAACGTGGCGGTGCAGGTTCGGTGCCGTCGACAATACCGGCAACACGAAACATAGTCAATAAAGGAGTAAATTGAAGACGCCAAGACGAATAGTTGGCCCGCGATTGCAGCTTCACAGTAAAGGAATGATTGAGAGATTGCATACTAGGTTGAAGAATTGATACTGATGCCTGTGAAGAAGATACCGGTGACCGAAGATGAGTAGCCTGGTCGGCGGATGAAAGGTCGGTGATAGTCATCGTTGAAAGTAAGCAAGCAAAACAGAATTCTTTATGATGATTTTTTTGTTTTTTTTGTTTTTTTTTTTTTTTTTTTTGATTTTTTTTTTTTTTTTTTTTTGATTTTTTTTTTTTTGATGTTTTTTTTTTTTTGTTTTGTTTTTTTTTTTTTTTTTTGTTTTTTTTTATTTAACAGCAGCAACAATCAACGGCAGCAACAATCGGCCAAAACCGGAGACCGACGACGACGACGACGATGAGGAACGACGACGATGAGGAACGAAGACGACGACGACGACGACGATGAGGAACGGAGATGAGGAACGACGACGGCAGCAGCACGGAGGATGCGACCGACGATGGAACGGATTCAACGCCGACGACGAAGAACACACGCCGACGAACACACGCGGGCAGTAGCAGAAAGACAGCGGCAGCAGCGGCGGCGAAGAAGGGGGCAGCGGCGGCAGTAGGTGATGCTGAGTTTGGTCGACGGGGAGAAGAAGAAGAACGCCGGTGATGCTGAGTGTGGTCGGCGCCGGCAGGGAAGGTTGGATGGGAGAAGGTGACAATGCCGGCAGCAGCAGCGGTGGAAGATCAACGGCAGCGGTGGAAGATCTTTACGAATTGGAAGAAGCCGGCGATGCGGAGTGTGTTCGACGGTGAAGAGCAGAAGAAGAAGCCGACTATCGGCGAAGGGGGTGTGCACGGCCGAAAAAGAGGAAGTCGGCGGGGGAGAGAAAGAGAGAGGAGAGAAAAGAAAAAAATTGGTTTTGTTAAACCTAGCTCGATACCAACTTAGAATAGGGAAATTGTATTGAATTCATCATGTGTTGTGCACAATATACAGACTATATATAGACAATAACAAACCCTATAATAGGAAATATACTAAATATTACAATAATGCATGTAAGAATTTCAGGACAAGAATTTCGTTTCCTTAACAAGTACATCAAAGGAATTAAAGACTGTCGGCTGAAGCCGAAATGAGGCTTGGATATGATCTTGGCGACGGCGAATTTGCAGCAGCAATTGCAGCTTCTGCTTTTGCAATTCATTCCATTGAGGAAAGGAAATCAAGGGATGGATCTGAAATTCCCGTGAGCAGGACAAGGACCTGGAAAGATGACAGATCTTTGACAATAGAATCTGGTGAGTCTGATTTTCAGAGTTTTTTTTTTTTTTCCCCTTTAAGTACCGATCCTCAAGATTATGCTTGTGATTGGGAATATTGATTAATGAAGCTGCTGTGGGGAGGCCATCTGGTCAGACTAATAGGACATTATCCTTTGCAAATGACCAAATGCGGAAAGGAAATTCACAAAAGCATCGGAATGCAGAAACCAAAGTAGATGCTTGGGAGAGATCTGAAATGGAGAAGATTAGGAAAAGGTATCCGTTTCCATGGCCTTAGAAGGTTCTGATTACGTTGGCGTTCGCTATTTTTTGCATGAATATGACTAAATGTTCTTGAGTCTCAGATATGAAAAGATGCAGTATGATATTCTTGCTTGGGAGAATGAAAAGAAGATGAGAGCAAAACTTCAAATGGAAAACAAAAAGGTTCAGCTTCATTACGTCAATATCTCTTAGTAAATTATAGCTCCTAACTAGAAATGTATCTGACTAGTTAGGTTATTGAAATGACAGAAAGATTTGGAGCTCAGAAAGGAAAGAAACTTGCAGCATTACAAAACAAAGGTAGCTAAGATAGATCATACTGCGGGAGGAGCCAGAACTCAGATGGAAGAAAAGCGCAAATACGAGGAAAAGGCTGTCAAAGAGAAAGCAAGAAAAATCAGATCCAGAGGGAAAGTTCCTGTCACATGTTTCTGCTTCTAACTCAATGGAATGATGTTGTGTATATAGTATTTGAGTGCATCTTTTGTGAAAATTTGTTCTCCTCTTTGCAATTACTAAACTTATCGACGCTTGACCTCCATATAGTTTACGGCTTTTGCTACCTTTTTATTGAAAATTTCATAAGGTTCAAGATTGTAGGTTCCTTTGTAAGACAAGGATTCTGGAACGACATTGTAACTTGTAAGTACATTAAGTGGTCAATCTTCAGGCTAAATAATGTCTGGATGAGAAAGCTGTAACTGTTGCATTGGATACTGACTGGTTGTTACTTAATCACCACAACAATAAACAGGTTGACTGCTCAATGGCTACCAGTTTCAAAATCTGTTTCAAGTTTCTGCTGGAAATTTTAAGCGCCACGTGATAAGAAAGCATCCAATAGAATCAATGCCTCGGTGCATTTCAAGAGATATTGAGTAGCATTATTATTCCAGTGTTTGTTAGATGTTTCAGAAGACGGTTTATGTTGATTCACTAATCACCATCATTTGAGAAACATTCGATTCTGATGTAATACTTTGAGGACAGAGCAAGCGGATTCTTGATTGCCTAACAAAACCATAACAAATTTAAAGTAACATGTGAACCACCAAATGTAACCAATAGACATGTAAACTTTTTCTCTTGCCGACCAGGAAACCAACTGCATCTCCTCAAGGCTACAGACAATGACATTGACATCAGTTTCTTTCATCAATATGAATCGACTCTTATGAGTAAGGCATCAGAAAGACTTGAAAGTATTAGAATGCAGCATATCAAGTTTATGTATATTCGGTCACACAAAATTGTTAGTCAAAACCAAACAGGCTGATAGTCTAAAAAACAGGTCTATCTTGAAGAAACTCGCATGTTTCTTTAATCATGATTCATACGGATACTCATTTTTGCATCAGTTCAACAACTGTTGCTAAAATCAAATGTTGAAACTTGCGTGTTGGCTCTTAGGACTAGGCTAATGGTACTTGTCAATGCTATAATATGTAGCATCTTCTGCGATCTTCCCAGCTCAATTGGTGTGAAAGGAAGTGTGAAATACATAGTGAAGAGGAAAATGTGCACCTAGCATTTATTAAAATGTGCCCACATAAACATGCAACTGAGAGATCATATCCAAGCACTTGTAGACTAGTTGATTTCAAGGGTATCTTTCGCTGTAAATAGTTTGTCGAGAGAATTCAAGAAATGTCATTATGACTGGGGAACAATCTGATCATATCTACTACAGTAATGTTACCTAGTTGCGATTTTATGCTTCTATTTACATCTATAGGGACACAGCATAATCCTAGACCTGGGTTATCATTTGTCGACGATGTGATTCAAATGGTACGTACCTTAATTGTCAGATGTCTGCAGACCAAAAACCCAAAAATAGAGTGAAAACGTGAGGCAGATCATTGCTAGTTTTACATGAGGCAGATTATTTTTGCTCAATCAATTCTGGAAGATGGACAAACTGTTAGAGGCAGTTGACCTTTTCGAAACTAGCAAGTCAGATGTATTGATGGTGTTTAGGATGCACATTAAAAGATTTGAATTCTTCAACGTCCGTATTACCCTTTACACACCATTTGCCAAAACACAAGCAAATGCTGCTAATCTGCAATTACTTCAAACATTTGTGTCTGGTAAACCATACTTTGATTCTAGATACTCAAAGAAGGTCATTAGTATAGGAAACTTCAATTTAAAGAGACTGCTTTATGATCCTTCAAAATCTCTCTAGAGCAGAGGCTAGATCTTCATTGCAACAGTTTTCAGTCAGCTCTTCTAACCCACAGGTAAAAGCATCTTTCTGCTGCCCCCGAACATTTTCCAAAAACTGCTATCACTAAACTAATCATACTCTATATCAAAAAAATAAAAAAATAAAAAAAATAATCATACTCAAAAAGTAATTTTTAGACTAATACAATCGTCGACATGCACGAATACATGAAATATTCATTAAGCAGTACCATAAAGTGGACTATTTTTTCGGGGCGGAGGGAGTATTTTGTTTGTTTCTTTCAAAGAGTCCTAATGGCTCTTTTGTTCTCCAGGAACTTAATTTTTCCATGACAGAACTGAGAATAGGACATCACACGTGGACTTGTGGAGGACCAAATATCCTATTCCTAGATCAATGGGAGACTTTCCAATTTGTAAGGCATGAAACCTGCAGAAAAGTTTTCACAACTGATGCAAGAAATTTACTATTCTGGTACCTTGACAAAACAGAGGAAAACAACAGAAACCAGCAGATTTCCTGCTCAAAATTTGATGGAAGCGACTGTGAATCATTACAACCAATCATTTCCATTACTCTAAAATTGAAAATTACTTGAAAATTAAGCTTTAAATGACAAAACTAATGTATGCCAGTATGGGGATGGTTTTACCACAGCCACCATTTTCAAACTGCTGGACCACTGTTACACAGGCATGAAAATGACTTGTTTGCATTAATATTAGTTGAAAATGAAAATCTCTTTAAGCCTTCAAACTCCCTAGTTTCGACTCAAAATCCTTTCTTTTTTCTTTTTTCTTGGTTGCATAAGCAATGATTAATTTTCAGAGGGGTTTACAATATGTTAAGAGCAGGACAAAAAAATGTCACACAATCTATGAAAGTTTATCAGTGCCTAATTTTCTGCTGAAAAGAACAAAGAAAACAACACAAACAATGAACCATGATGCAACTAAAATATTGAGGAAAGATCAAAGCATATCCAAATTTCATTGAGGATCCTTGCTACCACATGTTCTGTGTCTGGTATTTTAATCAGTAGAGAGTGACATCCAAGATGGGACCCCCCCAAAGAAGAAAAATAATCCCATTTCTACTTATAACAAGTAATATAAATAGAAGTAAATTCAAACTCAATCATGCTCCTGTTGATTTGGATATTGAGAGAGATAAGGAGGAAGATAAGACTTTTCTCTTCCAAGGTATCATGAGTCAGTTTGTTGTTCCTAATTGGAATCTAAAGCAGCAAGGACAAGAGCTCCAAGTGGATCATGGAGGGGATCATCATTCAGCCTACCACGTGCAGAACAACCACAATCCCAGCCATACTGTCCCCATGTATGATGATCAGTTACTGTCAGATTTTTCCTTCTTTTCATTTTCCTTTCTTTGCTGATAATTCAGCAACCCAATGATTAGCTCATCATAAGATGAATCAAATGAAGAAAAAAACTAGCAAGTTTTTCAGCATTTTTCTTCTCTTGGGCTAATTAGACTGTTTAGTCTCTTTCACCAATGATGTTGAAAAGGGCAGCTGTGATCATTTGAGTTTTTGACATTTTGATCTTCTTCAACACTTGGCAACAATGTCAGTTCATAAACCAATAGAGGGAGTATAGATTCCTATGTTGTTGTCATAAGAATTTTGATAACTCACTCCATCTTCCATATAGGGACCGTTTAGTTTTACTTTGTGCCATATAAATAGGACTGGAACCACAAATTTGTCTTTAAATTTATATACATCTGACAAACATTGCTTGAAATTTCAGGTCAACAGATCGTGAAGTGACAGAGCTGACATGGGAAAACGGGCAGCTATCGATGCATGGCTTAAGCAACAACAACAACATGATTCCTTCTCCGGCTCCAAACAAGACAACAAGCACCTGGGAAACACCAGCAGACCATACACTAGAATCAATAGTCCATCAAGCAACTTGTCACCAGAACCACAACCTCTTGATCAACATGATCCAAGCGCGAAAACCCGAGCAGCCAATCACCACCCGCGACAACACAACAGGGATTACAGGCGGTGATCAGAAGGCGGCGGAGCAGGTGCAAATGCTTGCCTCAAGTTACAACAAGATGGCAAAAAAGAGGATGAGGTCAGAGACAGAATCAGACCAATGCTGGAGATACTTAGGCAGTAGTAGTAGCAACAGAATGTATGATTTGGGAGCAGAAAGAAGTGCTTGCGCAAGTGCTAATGCAACATTTTGTAGGAATAACAACAACAACAATAAAGACACAACCATGATGACTTGGGGAGCTTCTTCCTTTGAATCTGATCCTCCTCCAAGTTTGAAGAGTACTAAAACCAGTCATGATGATGATTCTGCTGCTTCTCATGGTGGCCGTGGCTTGGTAAATTAATGCGTCTTTTTTTTACTTCTTTTTGAGTGATTTCATTTTAGAAGGACTGATGCGAAATTTTCATAATGACTGAGGTGACATTAATTTAGTGGACAATTGACATAGTCACACATAATAATAAACAACTATATATTGTCAATACCTCTAAATATCTAAGTATGTTTTCAATTGATTATCATGCTAGTTATTGTAGAAATTGACTATAAAATACACAATGATTGACGTTGAATTTTTATTTTTTTATTTTTTTATTTCAAGAGAAAAGAGTTCAATCTGGAGGATAACATCTTGGGACACTTCAATTATTATATATGTGTAATCCAATCTTCTTGCTCCTAGATTTTGGGCATGTAGCTAGCTAGGAACAAATCTCCTTAGGTGGTTTTGTTTTGGAATTTTGTGTTGATATATACATCCTCCTTCCCAAAATAATTATCGTATTTATTGTGATACAATATTCGAGATAGCCCTTTTGACAGGAATGAGTAATAATTTACAATACTTATTTTTGTTTTCATTTTTTTTCTTTCCCAAGATAAGATAATGTATATTATTCATCATTTATAACATGTAAAAAAATATTTTCAATGCTGCCAATTTTCTCATTTGTTGTTTTACCATAAATGGAAATGATCACATGCCACAGTGATTAACATCTTCCATCTTTCTTGTAGAGCCATTTGAATAAATGAATTAATTAGGAACTGTTTTTAATTTGCAGGAAAATAAAGATGAAGAACAAGAGACAAGAGGGGGAACACCTCGAACTTGCTCAGCAAGACGTAATCGCGCAGCAGCAATACATAATCAATCAGAGCGGGTACTCTAATTATTACTCTTTTCTTTGGGGTTTGGTGTAAACACGACATTTTGTTTGAGACGTGGTATACGGTGCTAGTAATTGTTAATATTTAATGACTAAATCCAAGAAGTTGGGGGAAAAATAAAGAAACAGAAAGAATGAAAGATGTCTACTAAAAATTATGTAATTGTTCTGAAAATATAGTCGTCATTGCTAAATTAGTTCGACATAAGGAAAATTATTTTAGAATGAATAATGAAATATTATTTTGGCATTAAAATTAGTAATAGCCCCGTACGTGTCACTCTATTCTTAATGTTTTAAAATGGGTTTCCATAATTTATTTGGTAAACTAGTGTTTTGATAAAATTATTTCAAAAATCGTTCTTTTTTTATAATTATTATTTTTTAAAGTGCTATTTAAGTGTTAGTGATCAGTTATATATATAAGCACTAAAAAGAATGGTGTTTGTTTAGAGACGTAGGGATAGAATCAATCAGAAGATGAAGGCTCTCCAGAAGTTGGTCCCTAATGCAAGCAAGGTGAGTTAACAATATTGATTTTTTAATGTTTGAGTTTTATTCCAAATATAAAAACAAGAGAATGAATTTTGATAAACCTTGAGTTTTGATCTTGTTTTGGTCACTTACTATTCTATAGAACTTTCACTTTCGTCTATTTTTCTAATATGGTCCAATCGAGAAAATCACAACAATCAAGAAAACTATTGAAAACTGAGACAAACAATTTATAACACGTCCGTATAAATCATCATTTTTTGTCAGAATTTTATATTTTCTCTCACTTAATTTAATGGTTAAAGACACACCAATTATTTTTTATTTGATTGTTGTTGTATGAACATGCAGACAGATAAAGCATCAATGCTGGATGAGGTGATCGAGTACTTGAAGCAATTGCAGGCACAAGTTAACCTAATGAGCTCAACCACAGCAACAACAATTATGCCTCAAATGATGATGATGAATCCTCTTGCAATTCAACAACAATTACAAATGTCCACACTTCTGGCTGCTGCAAGGATGGGCATTTCTGGAAATGGATTAGGAATGCCAACTCCCCACAATAATCCTCTTCAATCTCTTATGATGAATTCCACCACCACAACCCCATTGGCGCCCTCGACAACTCCTCCAACTTTTCTTCCACCAGTACCTTTTGTCGTGCCGCCCGTGATCCCTATCACGGGCGTCACGAGCGCCACAACAACCAGCACCGCTCCCAACGCCACAATGGCAAATAGATCCGCCTCGAGTCTTTTGAATAATCCTTACAATGCATATCTGGCACAAGTAAGTATAGCGAGTTAACTGTTTTCATTTTAACAGTTCACTTTGTTTTAATAAATTAATTTTTTCTAATGATTTCTCTCAAATGTGTTGTGGTTTCCAGCAAAGGGATAGCATGGATTTTTACGGCAGGATGGCAGCACTGTACAGACAACAACAAGCTAATCAAACGAGAAGCAACCCTATTGATCTGCCAAACTTCAATCAAGGGAAATGAATCCTTTAATATAATTTCTTGGATAAAATTCAAGGGGGAAAAAATATGCCAAGAGTGCAATGATTTCTTGAAATTGGTTCAGAAATATATAACTACCAATGCAAAACTCTTCAATTGGTTTTGTAGTTTTTATTTAAGAAGAAGAAGAGTGTATTATTTTCACTCTGTTTTAAAGAGAAAAAAGACAATTACTTTAGAACAGATCATAAAATATATATTACCTCTGTTCTAAAAATATAGTACAAATCTCAAAACTCAAACTGGACTGTTTTTTTAGGACGGAGCTAGTATTTTGTTAGACAGAATGTGGCATGATAATATTATTTTGGGGGGAAGAAACAACAGTCAGCTTAATGAGACTCACTACAAAAATTTTAATCCTATCACTGTTCATTGATTTATCGTATTTATGAAGCATAATACCGACAATAGAAAGATTACAGCTAGTTTTACTGGATTGATACAGTATTTTTCCTTGGTAAAGAGATTATTCGTTTTCATGTAAGAAATTTGCAAGGAGAACAATATTTTCGACAACTCATATCAACCCTACATGTATTTAACAAAAATTCCAAAAAAAAAAAAAAAATTTAACTCCAACATTTCGTACTAGCAACCAAAAAATATGTATGAGAAAATAGTACACTAAACGAATATAAGATTCTGGAAGAATTTGAAAACTGTTGAAACATATATAATTTTCAGCCGAAAGACAACGCGACGGACTACATTGGAGTCCTCTAACGGGATTGATACACTTTATTTTTAAAGATAACTCAAAAACATTCTATAATACTTTGTCACTATTTGTTTATCATATTATGAGTGTGATATAATTAAAATGAAGATTCTGTGATAAATAACCTTTTACATCGAATTTAAAAGCCTAAATTTTCCACTTTGTTCTCTCCTTTCCATCGAAGTGAGATCTTCTGTACCATTTCTATGTTACCCTGTGACTTTTTAATTGATATACTCATCACTTTAATTTTTTTTCGAAAAGGTGAAGATTAATAGATAAAAAGAATTACACATCTATCAAATATTTGATCAGCATCACATGAAGTGTAACACGCAAATGTCTATGAAGATCTACTCTCTCTAATATTATTAGAATGCAACAACGTATTTGAAGATATTTTAGAGATCGCTATTAAGTTAAAACAGTGTATATCATTTTCAGGAAAAAAAAAAAAAAGAAATTGCCTCTAATTTCTTTAATTTGTCAATTTTTTTGGGAGGTTATTATCATGTTTCTTTCGTGCTATAAATAGCAAGGTTGACCCCAATAGGGACCTAAACTTGTTTTTGGGAATATTAACATTAAGCCCTAAGCACCACACGATCTTCCAAAGCAGTGACCACACGAAGGATCCAATGGTCCAAACCATCATAATCAAAGAGATCTCAAGAGCCGAGTTTTAGATCATAAGATGATTCACCAACACTTGATCCTAGAAAAAAAAAATAATAATAATAATAATAGAAACTGTACATTAGTTTCTTTAAAATGATAGAAGAACAGGAAATGTATCCCCACTAGAATTTATAAGCCGTAGAAATCAATTTAATTTGTTGGACCATTTGCTATTTGTCTTTTTCAACAAGCTGGATTGGGACAAGAAAAATGGATATTTGAGAATGCTATCTTGTTAGCTTCCTACCACTTCCTCAATTCAGAAGTACTTGTGTCTTTTTGTTTATCAATACATCTTTTATTAAAATTTTCTGATCTTACCCTTGTTTTATCTATTAATAGTTGTGTAACATAAAAATCCATTGCAGATATGCACTAAGTGGAGTATTCAACATTGTTGATACTTAAGCATTTTTACAAACATAATCAAGATACTCTCAACTTGTATTCGTGTTGTTATCATATTTAAATCAAAACGGAGGGAGTTTCTATTCTAATGGAAATGAAAATATTGGACATTAATTGAAATCATGAAGTGGAATTTAAAATTGGAGAACTATTTTTTTTTTTTTTTTTAAGAAATGAAACAAAAAAGCAAAACCATGTTTTGATCCATGCATTCTTGAGTCCAACAACTACTGCATTCTTGGACTGAAACAGGAACAGTTAAAATTACTTCCGGGTAGAACTTGATCCAACTCTCATATAAATGGGCTCTAGCTTGAAGAATATTGGGCCAAAATTTGTAAGGACCATACTGTACATAACATCACAAATAAAGGAACTAAATGTTTGGGCTACAATACTATCTAGCCATGGAAGTAAGCCACACATAATTGTTTTGCTAACACACAGATAAGGTGTTTTGCATTTTTTTTCCTCAATAAGTTTTAGAATCTTGGAAAAATTAACAGAATTTAATCCCCCTCCCCCCCTCCTTTTTTTCCAAAAAAGAACTAAGTAGTGTTATTTAATGAACAATGAAGAACATCTACAGTTAAATTTTCTGATAAAATGGTGAAATACAGGACTGGAAAACGTCTAGTCGCGATTGATGTACCAAATAGTTACATAAAGGGTCAAACCAATCGACCAGTATTGGATACACAAACTCAACAAATGAGGTGATTCTGCTTCTATCAAATCTATGGAGAAGGGATAAACACAGACTGCTTGATCTTGATAGTATCACAGGCACTCCAAATGCTCGATTTTCGAGGCATTGATCATGCACCTTCTCCAAATTTCCAATGCAAAAGAAAAGGAGATGGCATGGTATGATATTATCAGTATTCCTACTGTAGTCTGTAGATAACTAAATAAGTAGTAAACAAGTTTGGTGGTGATATGATGAAGATGGATTATGCCATTGTTTTTGCTTGAGATTTCTCATCATGAAGGGAAATTATGGTTTCAAATGCATCAACCAAAGCCTTCACCTTACTCTTGGTCTTCACCAGCTTTTTGGCTCTTTCTTTGATCACATTGTTGTATAAGCTTTGAGAATGTTCTTTATGTATGGGAGTTTGAGGCCGGAGAACAACTTCGTCCAGTGCATTATTCGTCGTTTCATCTGATTGGTCACGTTCCATGTCGGGTTTTATTGGGATCTTGATCCGCATGGTTGCAGCATTTTGATCAGCATTTTCAGGGTTAAGTAGTTTTGCCTGCTTGAATTTGAGCTTCTTGCTTCCAGCATTGCTTTTCTCGGTTTGGATGCTTTTTCCTTTCCTGAATTTCAACTTCCTTGGAGACCCATTAGATTGATGATCCTTTTTAGCCCTTCTTGTCTTCTGGTTATCTGATAAAGTAGTTATTTTCTGAGGAATGTGCTCTGTAAGTTTTGCAGATTCCGGAAATGAGAGAAGACAAAGACAGAATCAGTACAAAAAGAGTTGTATTGTATGATACTATGATTTAATGATTTGATGAAAATTAAGATGCAAAGACATTTCTGCAGCTGAATTTTCAATTTTGAGGGTAGCTCATATTCATACCTTCAGCTTCAGGCAGGGGATTTGATGTAGGAGAATCCTGCTTTTCCCTTAACTCAGAGGATTGACCTTTGGAATTCTCAGTGTTCATCTCAATGACATGAATAATCTTCTCTGGAACATCATCATGATCATCAGATTGCGGAATTCTAGCTTTGTTTAGGCTATTTTTGCTCTTAACCTGTCTGAGCTTCTTTGGTGCAGTTTTCGCATCGACTTTTTTTGGAGTCTGAGAACCAGTAGTAGCCAGAGAAGTCCTGTTTTTGGTCCCTCTAGGAATTGGCACCTTCTTTGGCACTCTTGCATCATTGTTTTTGCGCGATTCGGGACTAGTCGCTGTACCCAAAGGAGTTTCCTTATTTTTGTTGGAAGTTTTGGTGCCTTTCTTTGTTCTCATTGCTCTCTTATTCTCTCCAGGAGTACTATTAATGGATGTTTCCTTCAATGTGCTACCGACCTCAATGTTTCCTTGCCTCAATTCTTTGGTTCCCGACATGGTCGAATCTTTTGATCTTAGAGGCTTTTGCTTTAATCCTTCAGAAAGCTTTGGAATGTTTATGTCCTTTCTTTCATGTATTTCAAGTGGAGAAATTGATGGTCTTCTGGAAATGCTGCTGAATGATCTTCTCCTCTGATGTAAAACAGAATCATCTTTAACCGGTTCGCGGCTTTTGAGTGGCGGTTTAGCCACGAATCCCTTGAGCATTGGGGACCTTTCTATTGTCTTGAAATCATGTTTACCACCAAATTTGCATAAATCATGGCAGGAGCCAATTGAAGCTCTAAGGTAATTTGGGACGACATTATCTTTGCTCCTGTTACCTAGGATGCAAGTTGAGCTCCTTCGGAGTTTTATAGGTTCAGACATTGTTTTCTGAAGCTTTTCAGCAACAGGAATTGTCACCTCAGACATTATGGAAAATGAGATCCTTCAAAATTGTTCCTGCAAAATGAGTCAATAGACTTTGAGAAATAGAAAATTGACCTCATCAGAAAAAGGCAAATGTCTGTTCTAAACTTTACCATTTCCTTCTGTTTTCAGAGAAAAAAAAAAGAAAAGAAGACAACATACCACAAAAAAGATGTGTGTATGATGTTCTTGAAACTGGATTAACAAATTTTTTTTTTTTTTTTTTTGGTTGTAAATTCGACCAAAATTTCATTACATTTACGACCTTAATTCTTGCAGTTCTGATAATTTTTTTTTTTTTTTTTTAATTTTCGGGGAAAAGCTCAAGACAAAACATGTCCAGGCACACCGTTATGTTATTATTATATCAATTGACTCAAATTGCAAAGAAAGAAAATCTTTGATACATATATCTTGCAGAGGAACATATACATTGCTTCATTTTTAACGCATCAAACATCATAGGATAAACCTTCAAAACTTCCTTTATTTCCAGAAAGCCAATATTGACCAATTTTGATCCGTCGCAATTAGCATTTCAATTGAATATCCGTACCACCTATATTCTAGAATTAAGCATGCATATCCCTAATCAACAGAGATATTTATATGTTCATACTTGAGAAAACATATGAAATTCGCGTGTAGGCCATGCATGCATGATGTAAAGATTGAAACTTGCATTTGAGACTCACCTTTGCTTATATATCTTCCAACAGAATAGTCAATAATTTATACCAAAGGGCAGTGGAATCTACCCAAGAAAACTGGAATATCAGCTTCCTTAAATTAATTTGGGAAATATAAAAAGCTACAAAAAACAGAGGAATCCCTTTTGTGATTTAAAGGGGTAAAGAAAACTATGATATTGGGGGAGTTTTATTGACAATTGGTTTGGCTGTTAGAATATGCTGTGAGGTCAACAAAAAGGAAAGGAAAATCAGAGAACAACTAATATGAACTGTTAGAATTGCGTGGTACTAACCTGGTTTGCATAAAAAAAAAAAAAAAAAAACCTGTTAGAATTGCGCTTTCTTTATTGAATAAAAAAAACTAAATAAACGGTTACAAAATAACAAACTTGTTTATGTAAGCAAAGAGGATTCAATTATGTTGTGATGAATTCTGTTACACGTTTATTTTTCTACAAACTAAATGCCGGACAAAACAATAAATGTGAAAATTATACGCTGCGCATTAAGTGCGCATGATATTCACCCGCTATTGCACAGTATGAATCTTGCACGCCCAATGCGCAGAATTTTATTTTGTTTTTTTTCTTTGTTTTTTTTTTATTAAGTTTTTGGGTTTTAAATTTTTTTTAAATTTTCAAATGATTTTATTTCATAATTCATAAAGAATTAGACTAAGTGTCTTATATCATTTTGATTGTATTTGATAAGATCTATCCAACAAGATCCCTCATGAATATAATTTTTTGCAACTTAAAAAAATTTATTAAATAACATTGGTCTTCCTAAGAGGCACTCTGGTCTTACTTGTTGTTCCTAAGTGTTTTGTGCAAACAGTTTGCTCTTTTTATTTGTTGATGTAGGTCTTGAATTTTATGTATTCCCCTTGGTCCCCTGAAAGACTCAATGGCCATGCTTGTTTGTGCAATAACACGATTAACTTTATAATTTTTTTAAACCAATTAGACTAGGGTCTCGTTAGCCTAATTGGTTTAAAAATTTAAACGAAGCAAAAAAAAGTATGTTTAGGATTTAGGGGGGTTTGACTATTTCCGTGTCGGTTAGGGTCTAGTTGTCTAGGGTTTACGGGATTTAAGTATTTCCGTGTCGGTTAGGGTCTAGTTTGTGCCGTAACACGATTAACCTTATTAATTTTTTTAAACCAATTAGGCTGGGGTCTAGATTTAAGAAAATTTAAACCAAGACAAAAAAATTAGTGTATTTAGGGTTTAGGGGGGTTTAACGATTTTCGTGTTGGTTAGGGTCTAGTTGTTTAGGGTTTAGGGAGGTTTAAGCATTTCCGTGTCGGTTACGGGATAGTTTGTGCCGTAACACAATTAACCTTATAAATGTTTTTAAACCAAGGAAAAATAAATAGTATGTTTAGGGTTTAGGAGGGTTTGAACACTTTCGTGTCGGTTAGGGTCTAGTTGTTTAGGGTTTAGGCTTTAGGGGGATTTAAGCATTTCCGTGTCGGTTAGAGCGTAGTTTGTGCCGTAACACGATTAACCTTATAAATTTTTTTAAACCAATTAACTTTGGTCTTTTGGTCTTTGGTCTCTGATCTTTGACTTTCGGTCTTTGGTCACTGGTCTTTGGCTTTCGGTCATTGGTCTTTTGTCTTTGATCTTTGGTCTTTGGTCGTTGGCCTTCGGTCTTTGGTCTTTGATCTTTAGTTATTGGTTTTTGGTCTTTGCTTCTCACTTAACGTTCGTTCTTTCACTTTAGTCTTTGGTATTCGGTTTTTCCTCTTTCGTCTTCGGTTTCTTGGTATTTGGTCTTTGATCTTTTATCGTTGTTCATCACACACGCTCACTCTTTACTCTGGTCTATGATCTTTGCTATTTCGTATTCAATTTTGGTCTTTGGCCTTTGGCCTTTGGTCTTTTTTTGTAGGTCTTGATCCTAAAAGACACAATAAGACCATAATGTCTTTTAGTAAGACCAAGGTTACTGGATAATTTTTTTAAAGTTTTGAAAAACATATTCATTGGGGATCTTGTTGGATAGATCTCGTCGAGTACTATCAAAATGATATAAGACACTTGGTCTAATTATTTACGGATTAAGAAATAAAGTTATTTGAAATTAATTCCTAAATTTAAGAGGAAGTGACACGTGAGTTACACATTAAAAAAAAAATTGGGACCTGCAAAGCAAGAGGATGTTGTGCGTGCGTGTGCTCACATCAAGTGCATCCTCCAACATGCACTTAATTCTTATGTTATAATAACTCCAATAAATGAATGAATACAATGTGTCCACCTATAGTGATTTTTTCGCCCTTTTAATTGCACCCTGTCAAAATTCAAATTCGGGACCTTATATTGCCAACCTTCAAAACCCAATTCTCCCACCCATAGATGCTATTAAATGTATGATCAATCCTTATAAGCCGATCGTCAATCAAAATAATTCAGATTAGGCTAATTAATTCTTAGACCAATTTATTTTCCTCACGCATGTGACAAACTACCTTTCCTTGATCGCGGACGAAGGAGTGACCTAATACTAAACCTCCTAGCATCTATTTGTGGGGACGTGGGTTCGAATTCCACAACAGCGATTTATTGCTAGTCAACGTTAGCGATTTATTGCTAGCCAACGTTCCTGCAGGTAAGAATCAGCACCAACTAAGAAGGCATCTTCAAGAGAGGTCAAATAAACTAGGCATGTGTGCATGACGTTTTCTTAGTAGAGTAGTACGTACTATTCCGTTCTCATAAAATTTACTCGTGTAATAGTTTAGGTACTTCTAAGGTGGTTTAAAAACATTAAATCTTTGCTTGCAGGTTTAACTACAACCTAGAGATGAAATTGACAATCTTCAATATTATATATAATTGCAGAATATATATATATATATATATATATTGTTTTGGTAGTCCTTCCCAATTGGATTGCATTTAATTTATCAAACATCAAAAAATTTGATAATAAATAGGAAAATGATGTTTTAATTTAATGCCTTTCTCATCCCCTGAGAAACTCGAAAGTTCTCAATTTCTTGTTTGATATTAAAAAAAAAAAACCTCCACTAACTACTTAAAACTGAAGCAGTTTTAGTTATCTATACAATTTTTTGCTTTTTCATCTTCCTTATGATCCTCTTCCATCATTTTTCTTCCAAATTAATTAAGAATCAATTTATAACTTAATTAATTAAATTTCCATTAAAAAAACCCCTTTTTGTTTTTAATTTTTACTTCATTACTAAAATTACATTGCTTTCTGTCTTTTATTATCTAATAATGATATTTCACAATACCAATAGCTTTTTCTTTCTTCTTCAACATTATATATAATTGCAGAATTTTTTCTTTGTTTTGGTGGTCCTTCCCAATTGAATTGCATTTAATTTTTATCAAAAATCAAATAATTTGATAATAAATAGGAAAATGATGTTGTACTTTAATGCCCTTTCTCATCTCGTAAGAAACTCAAAAGTTCTCAATTTCTTGTTTAATATTAAAGAAGAAAAAAAACCTCCACTAACTACTTAAAACTGAAGCAGTTTTTCTTATCTATACAATTTTTTGGTTTCTCATCTTCCTTATGATCCTCTTCCATCGTGTTTCTTCCAAATCAATTAAGAATCAATTTATAACGTAATTAATTACCTTTAATAGTTTCACCCTTTCATTCGTTCGGAGGAGTTTGTAACTGCAGCATCACCACTTTATCATAAATTTAAACCCCCAAATGGTACATACTGTGTTCTTCTTGTTGGTTCTAATAGTTCTACTCTTTCAAATTGCTGAACACATCAGAGCCAACGTTGTATTATCATTCCAACAAAGAGACGATATGTATTCTTTGACCACTGAAAACTAAATTGGCACTCTTTTTTTCTTATGGTGAGATGCAACTGAACAAATACTTAAAAAATTTGTCAATCTAGGTCTTCCAGCAAAAATTATATATAGATTTATTTGTTTTTTTCCCGTTTGTTTATTTTCCAATTCTATGATTCTTACAGGGAAATAGGAGAGAACTTGCCAAAAACATGCAATGCACAAAAGTTTAGACCAATTTCTTATATCAATGCCAAAAAACGAGATTTGGTGACAGACAAATTAGCCTTTGGTGACCCGGACCGGTCACTAAAGATCTTTGGTGACCAAACGGGGTCTAACTTTGTGTCGGTCGACTAAAGCTCCGCCACCGCCTCCGCCTCGCTATTGGAAGACTTCGCCTTCGCCTCCCCCTCCGCCCGCAGCTTGCCTCCTGCAGTGGGATTGACGGTGTTGCTGATTGGGAGAAATCCGGGAACGTACTTGATTTTTTTCTTTTTATTTTATTTTATGTGTGTGCGAGTGTGGTGTTTTCTTTAAGGAGGCGTGGGAGTTTGGATACGGCCAAGGAAAGGGATGGGAATTTAGACTAGTGGTTAAGCAAATAACTTTAAATGTTTTTTTCTGTTATTTTCTTTTTTATTTTGATCATTAAAGTTTTCAAAAAAGTTATGTAATGATACTATGGCACTCTTCTATTTTCTTAAGTAGCACCCTTCACCTTTTAATTTTACTTCAATCTCATAATAATCTAATTATTTTCAATTACATCCTTTCGTGATTCTTTATTTTTTCAATTGAACGTCAACATTTCAATTATATATACAATATTTAACCATTTTTTTGCTTTATAATTTAGTTAAATTATTTTTTATTTAAGTAATATCAGTTATTATTCGTTAATCAATTTTTGATATGATAGTTAAATATAAGAGGATCATTTCTTTACTTGTATTACTTGATAACAAACTTCACTACTAGTAAATGCACTAGGTTTGATCTAATGCTCTACAGTTATCACAGTCGTGTTATGATTAGCACTCTGGCTATCACAATACACCACATACCTCTCTTACTTCATACCAAGCTCTTGTAAAAACTTATGCAACCAAAGTGCTTCCTTACAAGATTCAGTAGCTACAATAAACTCTGCCTCTGTAGTAGACAAAGCAACACACTTCTCCAACCTACTCTGCCATGAAACCGCTCCCCCTCCATAAGTCATCAAGTAACCAGAAGTAGACTTTCGACCATTAAGGTCACCCGCCATGTCAGCATCTGTATATCCATCCAACATGGTCTTCCCATTGCCAAAGCAAAGACTCAATCTGGAAGTACCCCTAAGATACCTAAGAATCCACTTCACAGCATTCCAATGCTCCTTACCAGGATTAGAGAGGAACCGACTAACAACACCAACTG